GAGGAGAAGAAAGCTTTACTTTCTAACCAAGCAAAACTTAGCTGTTCCATATTTCATCTCAGTTCTGCTTGCAAACTAAAAAGTTCTTCACCTTGTCTCTATATTCTCTTACTATATGCAGGGACGAACAAACGAAAGACACTTCTATCATTCTGCCTGGAGGTCTTCTTAGGTACATCCAAAACTTCGATAGGTACATTTTCCATGTTCCAAGTTATCACAGACAGTAGTTTTTCTAATTGTTTCACACCTGCCTAACATTTTTCCAACATGCTATAGCTATTTTCTCACCACCTTTTCAGCCGCCACTCTTTCCTTACCACTTTTCCAGCCCTCATTAATAGTTTTCTTGTAGTCTAGTCTCAGAGCCAGTGACACGTTTCAGTAAAACATACTTGCTAAAGAAGGATCCCATTCCTAGGTAACCAGTTCTATATCAATAATCTTTTGTTGATTAATAAATTACCTCAAAATGTAGTGACAAAACAGTAAGCAGTTATTAGCTAATCATAGGTTATTATGCAATCTATGGGTTAGCATTTGGGTCTAGGCTCAGCTGGGTGGTCATCCTACTGCTTTCTTCTGTTGTAATGGTCTCTGTACCTATTGTGTTGATCCTGAATAAAGTCCTCCTTGCTGTGCTTCAACAAGAATCATTGAGTAATTTTTTATTTAACAACACACAAACACACTATATGTATATATATATATAATTGTCCCATTAACACATCAATTCCAAGAGGTCAGGACCACTGTCTATGATAGAGCCTCACAAATATTAGCTTAGCATAAGGGCAGCCATGTTGGGATTAATGCTGGGGAAAGAATTCTGCTTGAACAATGAACAATCACTGCAGTTTGTAGGAGTAATAAAGCTAGGTCATAACTCAGTGAGTTGCAAAACTAACAGTCTTGTTTGAAGTTACAGGTGTTTGGGGAAGGAGATAAAGCCAGAGCCAAGAAGTCTGACTCAAGATTTCACAGAACTGAGCCCAAGAATGGAGATTAAGACATACCAGTCTGCACATAGTCACCAACCCTATCCCTGAGGCATTTTTAAATACATTTCTCCCTTTCTCCTTTTGTCTTGTATAACCCACCTCCCCACCTCTCCTGACCCCAGAAACCCTAAAGCTCTAAGACAATTTTAGTTTAACTGTCTCTTCAGACACCTGACAATAAAGCTACCTACTTTGCACCAACATTTGGGACTGATGAGTCTTTCATTTCTGAGTGAGGTGCGCCAAATTTGGGGCAGTGGTAACATCTTTGTTATTCATTCCTGTATTCTCAGTTCCTTGAACAGCACCTGGCACTTGCCTAGTGTTCACTGTATATTTGTGAAATGAAGCATTCAGACATATACTAGAGGTACAGTCATGACTATAAAATGGCCTCTGCCCTTGAGAAGCTTGCAGACAAGAAGAAAGATTTTCAGTCTATATTGTTCTCTGGCTGCACATCTATCTTTAGGGACCCTGCATGAGATAAAGCAGGGAATGTGATTTATAGTGATTCTCCTGACATTTCCTGGTCTTTAATGGATCCACAAGATAATTTCCAGGACAGAAAGGCTTCTCTTGGCCTTCATGCAGTAGCATTGATGTGGCTTTCTTGGAGGCTCAGATAGCTATCTAGAAGGAGATATTCCAAGTTACATGCCTGATGATCATCCTCAATTGAGTTGAGAGGCATGTACCAAGTCTACTTTATTACAGGTTAAAGGTTATGCTTTCTCCACCATTACAGAATCATTTACACAGAATCATTTTACTCAGACCAATTGCCTGCCAAATACAATGACTGAGACTGACTGATCTGAGCAGAAATTATGGTCTATAATGGTTTTTCTGCTTCGTGTGCAGAAACAGCCTCCAGCTGGATCTAGTTGAGCCAGACTAAATTGTGTTTGATTCATCGACTTTGCTGCAATTGGTCTGTATAACTATATGGCAGAGACCCAGAACTGCAATCTTTAATTCACATGGCATTAAAATGATTTGTAGTAAGTTAGATAGAATGAATCCTTTGGTCTCATTTTTATTTGGTCTGGTCATTTCAAATTATAGGAACACTGTTATACAC